ATTCACCTGCCTCGGCCTCCCAGAGTGCTGGGATTACAGGCGTGAGCCACCATGCCTAGCTGACTGATGGGTATTAATACTAGTAACTACTTCATGGGATTGTTATGAAAATTAAATTACTAATTAATCATAACAATTAATTATATTAAGTTATTAATTAAATGTAAGATGATTAGAAGAATCTGTAGTACAACAAATGTTAGCTATCATTATTAGCAATAGTTGTTGCAGGTTGTAAGAAATGAACTCATGGTTCTCCCAAGGAGGCAGCTGGGTAACTGGACTACTTTGTATTATCTGGTTGATACAAAGCATCACAGATCCTCTGAATAAGGATTTCTGTGCTGGGAGAAATGGATCAGTGTGCACAGAACCCTGCAAATGAAGCCCAGAGAGGTTATGGAAACCAAAACTATTAGAAGTTGGATATTGGCTACAGAATCATTGGACGTTGGAGAATAAATGTTATTCGTTATTCATTCATTAATATTTTTGAGTCTTAGGTTCAAGCTTTTCTTTTATAGTTGAGAAAGTTGAGTGGCCAGGAGGTTAAACCGACTTCTCAAAAGACATGCGGTTAGTGGGAGTCGCCAAGAAAGCCTTTGTCCATTATAACACACCGTCTCCTACTATGAAAGGAGGATCTCCAAAGTGGAAGACCTACTCTTCCTGAGGTTGTACCCAGTTTTGAGCCTTTCCAGGTATACCAATAGGACAAGTCTGAAGTACTTGAGAAGGGGAGCAGGTGGCCCTGGGCATATGGACCAGGGTTTCCATGTCGTATCACAAATGATAACTAATCATAGTAGTGATGATAGTGCTGATGCAGTGAAGTGGTGATGAGCTAGGGCTCTGGTTCAAATCCTTGCTTATCTAGCTCTTGAATTTTCTGTGGGGGACAGACTCATTCTGTCAACCAGGCTGGAGTGCAGTGATGCGATCTTGGTTCACTGCAACCTCTGCCTCCCAGGTTCAAGAGGTTCTTATGCTTCCACCTCCTGAGTAGCTGAAATTACAGGTGCGCACCACCACTCCCAGCTAATTTTTGTAATTTTATTAGAGATGGGGTTTCGCCATATTGGCCAGGCTATTTTCAAACTCTGGACCTCAAGTGATCCTCCTGCCTCAGTCTCCCAAAGTGCTAGGATTACAGGCCTGAGCCACCGCGCCTGGCCTGATTTTTTTAAAACGTGTAAAACCTGGTTAATTATGGTATCTACCTTATAGAATTCTGAGGATTAAGACAGAGTGTAGAAGGTGCTTGACCCAGAACTAGGTAACTGTTCAATAAGTGTTATCTCCTAAGAGGGATTCCTTCCAGTGTCTGAGAAACATGAATAATAATTGCCAGAGCCATGATTTGAACACAAGGCTCTTGGGAGCCTTCTGACACGTATACCTAATTCAGGCAACTGCAGGGCAAAGCAGAACTGAGGTGGAAAGAAAGGGAAACGTTTGTAGCCTTGTGTCTCACGTACTGCTCAAAGGCTCACGTTAGACTCCAAACTTAAGGAAGTAAATTTAATTCGAAACTTGGCACTGTGGTTGGAATGAGACACAAAATGTGTTGCCAAGTCCCTTGGGCCCCATATGGACAGGTCCCCTGAATTGCCAGAATTCTCTTGCTCTGTGCACATGGGAGCCCAAGGGAGAAGCTAAGAGTGAGACTTGGCCCAGGCACCTAGGGAAGTGGAAAGCAAGAACTGGACCCTTACTTTTAACGATGATGCCTCAGGCAGTCACTTAGCATGTGAAAGTCAAGGTCTGCTTGGCCAGTGTCTTCCTTGGGGAAGATGAGTGGGAGCAACCTCTCTGGAAAGAAGGCAGCTGAAGAATAGAAGAGAAAACAAGGCCCGGTAATAGTCATTGCTGCAGAACTAGGGCTTTGAACAGGTAAACAGAACTCCCGTGAGCAATTAAGCAATTTATATCTTAGGAACAAAGTTAGATCCAGAAACTTGTAATATGTGATTCTGGGGATCTGGTGCATTTCCCACCAGTGCATAGCCCTCTCTCCCACCATAGCTCAGCCTTTGTTCATTCAACAAATGCTACTACCGGCCAAGTGCTGTTCTAGGTGCTGAGGATGTGATAGTGTTGCTGTTGTTGTGGCTGCTGCTGCTGTTGTTACTGTTTTGTTTTGTTTAAAATGTGAACACAGCTTATGGGTCTTCCATTTTAATGGGGAAGACAGACAACAAACAAGTAAAGAAATATATAACAAAGTGCTGAGCTATGGTGTGAAAAAATTAAGCAGGGTAAAAAATAGAAAATGTTTGGGGTTAGCTATTATAAACTGAGCTGGCAGAGAAGGGCTTTCTGATGGATGACATCTGAGCAGAGAATAATAAGAATGAACAAGCAGCTATTTGGGGAAAGAGAATGTCGGTCAGAGGCAGAGAGAGGGAATGGCAAGTTCAAAAGGCCTGAGGCACATATGTGTGTCTGGTCACAAAAGGGATGGAGCAAGAAAATGGGGTGGAGTCAGGGCAGAGGGTACAAGAGGAAAGTGTAAGGGAGGAAGTCAGATGAGTAGCAGGAAGCAGAGCATGCAGGGTCTTGATGGCAGAGAAGCATGATTTGCATTCTGAAATGGGAAGTGTCACTTCTCATTCGTGTTTTAATAGGATTATTTCATCTAAGACAAAGGCCAAAATGTTTGGCTCCTAAGTGTTGCCCAAAGAAGAGTCTGTCAGTTTTGAAAAGGAAAAACTAAAGTAGAGGGCACCTTGCAAGGAAGGAGAGGTTGTATTAACATTCCTTCAAATTTTAAATCAACATAACTCCTGCACTTGTAGAGTCTGCTTTAAAGCACAGTAGGATAAACATCTATCAATTCCTCTTTGCTGTGGGATGGAGTAAAAGAGCAGGGGGTTATGATGTAGAAAATTCAAAAATAAGCAGGGATTCTTTTAAAGAACATCTGAGGAAACCATTTGGAAGAAGTGAATACAGAAATTAATTTGTGTTATGGCCAGGCAATGGAAAAAGGAGGCAAGAGTCCAGGGGTTGGCATGGGAAAGCCATCTTAGTATTTGAAACTTTCCAGAAATGGTCTCCAAAGTGAAAAACCCACATGTGAGTAACAGGTGACTGAAACACAATAGCAAGACAGCATTTAAGATGGAAGAAACTCCAGAACTCACAAAGTGATTTTAAAAAGAACGCAAATGCCCATCAATGATGAACTGGATAAAGAAAATGTGGCACATATACACCACGGAATACTAGGCAGCCATAAAAAAGAATGAGTTCATATCCTTTGCAGGAACATGGATGAAGCTGGAAACCATCATTCTCAGCAAGCTAACACAGGAACAAAAACCCAGACACCGCATGTTCTCACTCATAAGTGGGAGCTGAACAATGAGAACACATGGACACAGGGAGGGCAACATCACACACTGGGGTCTATTGGGAGGTGGGGGGAATGGGGAGGAGAGCATTAGGACAAATGCCTAATGCATGCAGAGCTTAAAACCTAGATGACGGGTTGATAGGTACAGTAAACCACAATGGTCCATGTATGCCAGTGTAACCTATACATTCAGCACATGTATCCCAGAACTTAAAGTAAAATTTAAAAAAATTAGCTTAAGCCTCCTCAAATAGACAAAAGTCTAGAAAATATCAGTATAATGATCTTAGGAAGACAAACACAGCAGGGCTTCAGCCTTTCCTTCCCCATCACTTCGCCTGTTATAAAAGCATATTCTCTGGAATGTTGATATAAAACACTTTTATCTTTAACACCTCAGAATCCTCTCCCATACTATGTCCTTGATATGGGAATCCCTGGCTTTGTGACATCCTCGGCCCTTTGAATCATGGAGCCACTAATATGTGTAATCCCCAAACATGAGTGCTACCATAATAATTCCCAACCCTGAAAGCTGGGCGCTGTGCCCCACTTTGGTCAGTCTACAGAGCTCAGACTCTGCAGTCAGATTCCCCAGGCATTGAATCCCAGCTTCCTATTTGCTCATTGGACTAAATGTCCCTAGATTTCTACATTTGTAAAATAAGAGGAAATAATACAGTACTCATGAGGCCTTAATGTAACACACACACACACAGTAGTGCAGGATAAAAGAGTTCCTTAGTCAATGTCAGTTATTAGTATTACTAGAAATACTGGTGCATAGTTCTCTTATTTTTCTTCCTTTTCTTCCTTCTTTTCCTTCTTCCTCTTAAGATTTCTTTTTTCTTGTTTCTTTTTTTTCTCATCATCATTACTTTTAATGGTGAAAACCACAGTTACCTTTGCACCAACCTAATATTATCATAATATTCTGAGAATAGACTATAGACCCATGTGATTTTGGTAAATAATGTGGCATGGTGGTGAGTAGGATCCAGGCTGTCAATGTCAGTACTTTATGAGACTGAACACCCCTTCTTACAACTCCTGTCTTAGAAGGCAGGTAGGTAGAGAAAGGGGCAATAGGGAGGGTCTCGTGAACAAAGGAGAAAAGAGGGGGAAGATGGAAAGAGATGTGGGTAAAGAGGAGCCCCAGAGAATCCTCAGGGTGACATGCCCACAGTGTAAAGGGTATGAGCAGGAAGTTATCTCCTTGAGTGCTTTACCATCTTAGGATGGTGAGAACGTATCCTCAATCATAACCACTACTGTGGTCGATAACTCCAAATGTAACTCTGTGTTTTGGGAAGGCTTGCTTTTGTATGAATGAAATTGTTGTAGGGCACTGGAAAGGATAGGAAGATATAAAAATGGGGTGGAAAAGGAGACCTAGAGAGAAACAGAAGCCTTTAGGGAAATGAGATGAGCACATATTGATGTAATGTTAGCAAATGGGCTGTCTACGAAGCAGATTAAAAAGAGCATAACTCACTTGAGGAAAGTCAGAAAAGGCTCTCCCTGTGGGGAGCGGCCACGTCATCTTCCCCATGACAACTTACCATCTGGCTTGCTGGCAGTTTTTCTTCAAGTGCTAGATGGCATTGAGAAGGAAGACAATCCTTATTTTTTTGCTTTTCAGGTGATACCAGGAACTGCAGAGAGAGGTTTTCATCTGGAACCCAGAAAGGAAAAAGTTGAGTCATTACCCGGAACTGAAGGAATGAGCTAATTGGCTGGGGAGGCTTAGGGGCATGGACAACCAGCTTGGAGTCTGAGTTGTTATCCCACTGAGCCATCAGTCTCAGGACAAGAGCGAGTGCCTTCACCTCATTCCCTTAAAGCCTGTCCTCTGACCCACAACAGAAAGAGAGTTTCTGTTCTGCCCCCATCTCACTATGTGTACTCAAGCAATTTACTTATCCCCTCAAGGACTTAGTTTCCTAATCTGCAAAATGGGTGATAGAAGAATGATCAGGTTAACGGTGTCCATTGGAAGTCACTCAAGCACAAACAGATGAAGGGACTGGGAGCGTGGAAAAGAGCGGTGTTTTTGCTTTCCCTGCATCCACCCACTGCTTCATCCAGAACATTTCTCTTTCCTATGCAGATTATGTGTCTGCATCCCAGCGTGATCTTAAGTCTGAACAAAGGACTTCAAAGCTAAGATGGGAAACCCACTGGCTTTGGCAATCTCTAGGGTTGCTTCTACTTATTTTCTGTTTCTGTTTGTCATGAAGTCACATGAGAGAATGTTGTGCTGAAGACATGATGGGAAAGGGGCCCAAGCAGAAATTAATCTAAAAGATGAATGTGCCAAGAATAGGAGGCTTTTGGGTGAGGGGACCCTCGGGTCTTGCTTAGAAGGTGGTAGTGGAAAATTCCACACCTCACTGGAAGGCGCTGTTTCTTCCTGCCTCCTTCACATTGATCTCTCTCAAATGGAAAACCGATCCTTCTCACCTCAGAATTGGGCCAAATCCAGTTTGAAGCATCCATTTCTTGTGAAGAGTCTGTCCTGTGGTGTGTAATTTAATTTAAAATATATTATCAAAAATAGTATAATAAAAATAGGTTCTACTGGTTGCCCTAATTGGGATACACGTTACAGGAAATGGTTCACAGTGTTTAATCAAAGAGCTACACTGCAAGGAAAGTTACTGCAAGCATCTAGCTGTTTTTATCTACAACTGACCCCAGAAGTTTAGACATTCGCATGTTTTTATAAATGGGTTTACACTGATAAAATTGCTGGTGTTCAAAATATGTGGCTTGGCTAGAACTATGATAAATGTTATAGAAACCCTTCTGCACTTGTTTAAGGCAAAATAATCCAGGGAACTCAGTAGTCCATATTCTTTGCAGTGGTACCAAAACTTGATTCTGAAACTGTCCTTTGTCTAGCAACTGATTCTGAGATTGCTGGATTCATCCTCAAAGATTAATGGAGGCTCATGCCCGTAATCCCAGCACGTTGGGAGGCCGATGCGGCCGGATCACCTGAGGTCAGGAGTTTGAAACCAGCCTGGCTGGTGAAATGGTGAAACCCCATTTCTACTAAAAATACAAAACTCAGCTGGGTGTGGTGGTGGGTGCCTGTAATCCCAGCTACTTGGGAGGCTGAGGCATTAGAATTGCTTGAACCCAGGAGACAGCTCTTGCAGTGAGCCAAGATTGTGCCACTGAACTCTAGCCTGGGTGAAAAGGTGAGACTCGTTCTCAAAAAAAAAAAAAAAAAAAAAAAATTAACAGAATCCCTGCTTCCAGAACACTGAACACTGTTTCTTTTGCTTTATGCAAGTCATGGTCAGGATAATTAAGAGGGCAAAGATTTGAGATTTATCCAGTTTATTAAGCAGATTATATATGCCTTTTTAAATTGTGCTTCTAATAAACACTTGTATGAATGGCAAACTTTGTTTTGCATCTTGCTTCTGATAGAACCTGGGAACAAAGTTTTAGAGGTGGAAACTTATACCTTTTCTACTCAATGTATGGTGAATGCAACCATAAGCAGGGCCAGCCACTCTACACCTACTGAATTAACAAATGTATTCTAATAGGACCCCAGGCAATTCATAGCCAAGTTAGTTTGATGAGTTCTGTTACAGACTTCAACTACTAACTCTAGATAGTTATTGATATCTATCTAATAATCCGATAGTCATCAAACACAAGATTACCTTACACTAATGTGCAACAGATAGCAAGAAGAAGAACTTCCCAGGATTATATGTTGTGAACCTTCTGAAGGGAACTTGGAAGTAGGGTAAAAGAAAACCAGAAAGAAAACAAAGCTTAGCAGGGGCTGCAAACTCAGATATGACACAGACAAGGCCAGTTAGGAAAACAAAGTGAGAATGATAGAAACTACCGCAACTGGAGAATTCATGCCCCTTCCATAAACAGCTACCATTACTCAGTTCTGGATTGGTGCCACACAGAATGTGGGCCTAGTGATGCCTGAACTTATGATTTTGTTTCAGAAGCCCAGAATATACATTTTAATGAAAAATTCCCTTTTATTCAATGAGGCCCAGTAGACTAAGCCTAATTCTATTATCTAAACACAACTGAACAAACTCAGTCACCAAGTTCTTCAAAGGGCCCACAGCAAGTCACTTCTTTCTGTATTTCTATTTGTGTATTCCTTTCATGAGCTATTATTAGAGAACATGTAATTTTCCAAATTCATTAGAATAATAATGATATGCTTGGGAGACCTGAGCCAAAGACTCTGAGCCTGCATTGCTGATTTCAATTGGAGATAATATCCTTGGACAGCCGGCAACCTGCAGCTTGCCAATGGGGTTTCAATTTTTTGACAGGAAATCTGAGAGCTTGAAGATCACACTACTTCATGGCTATCTGAACAGGTAGCTACTATAAACTTTGCAAGTTGGCAATATACAATTTAGTTCAGAGTTAGTGTGTTTAGTAGAGTTTTATTTCTCTGCAGAGACACAGGGCATTGGGTGGTGGAAACTGTTAGAACCTCCAGGTAAATGCAATGAACTGCTTCCCTGTCAATATGCCCGACACTTGAATATTTTAAATGCATTGTCTAAGGACTACCAGCATTAGAATTTCTTTATTTTGTAAAATGCAGAATCACAGGTCTGAATACGAATCTACTAAATAAAAATCCTGGGAGTAAATTTATAAAAGAGCATTTTAACAGACACCCCAAATGATTGTATGTATATTAAAATTTTTGAGCTATAGCATTTCCATGAGATGATGTTTGGTAGTAGCTAATTGATCCCCGTTTCTGCCAAGGATAGGATGAAAAGAAATGCACTTTCTCTGTTGCAAGAATTAGAGTGTGGAGGAAGTAACAATAGTATTAGTATGCCCCTATGATGTTATTATGCCAGGGAGCCAACACCCCCGATTTATGTCAGGTATGTCTGGGCTATAAGCCAGTTCTTTAGGGGGAAAGAATGTTCTGACTTGTTGTATTTTCCTATTTCAGTGGTGTAAATACTCCTGCCATTGTCAATTTCATGTTACCAACATGATGTTTCTGAACATAAACTTGGGAAGGGATGGGCAGAATGGGCTCTCAAGAGCCTGTGCCTGCTCGTTCCAGCTCATCACAGAGGAGGCCCTCACAAAGCAGACCCAGAAATAAATTTAAGTTCAGGGAACAACGGCAATCTTATGAGAAGGAATAATTTTAACCAACTGGAAATTTATATCAAATCCCAGTGTCGTGTTTCAGATGGCTAGGTTGAACTAGGCAGAAACTTCCTTTACTTAAATGAAGTTAATTTTTAGATCTGGGATGGATTTCTCAAAACTGAGTGTCTGAATCTCCTGTGGATCTTGTTAAAATGCAACTTCTGGTTCAGTAGGCTCTGAGGGGTGACCTGAGATTTGTTGTTTCTAAGAAGCTTCCAGGTGAGGCTGACGATGCTGGTCCATGGTCCGCATTTGGAGAAGCTCAGCCTAGACTCAAAGCGACTCACTGTGCTTTTTCCCTGGGATCCTAACCAAAGCCTCAAAAGTTACCACTCTAAGGGGCTAAAAAGCTGTACCCTACCTAATTAGCTTGGGAGGAAATGGACACAGAGAGCTCTAAACACTGAAAGAACTGTGCTGGCATTTGGCTGATCAGTTTAACAGAATTCTTCCCCAAGGATGTGGTAACTGGAATAGGAGGAAAAACTTTGGCATAGAGACCAAAATAAAGGGCAATTCCCTGTCTGTGTGAGTGACTGAAAATGGGGCTGATGAAAAAAGCTGACTGTGAAATCTGCTTTACTAGAGATGACTATAGACATGATAAAATGATTTACTAGAGATGATTATAGACATGATAAATCAATTGCCCATCGCAGACATGATAAATCAATTGCCTGTAACTGCCACATGGGACATGGGAGTTCCAGGAACATCCACTGAAATTAGGGGTTCTGCCTGATGTCACTCCTTTAGATGTACCACTTTAGAGCTCCTAAAACATTTCTGAAGAGTTTTGAAGAGTTGAGAGCCAAGAAATTCAAATGTGTTAGTGACATAATAAATCTCTCCTCTTTTTGGCTGAACAATACAGTGTTTGTGAGTGTTTATGGATAATGCTAAGCATTGTGCTAGATGTTTCATTTACTTTTCCTCCAAATTCCCCACCAATTGTGAGGACTGGGTATTATTGTCCCCATTCTCAAATGAGAAATTGAGTCTCAGTGAGATGACATAATGTGCCTAACACCAAGGTGCAAGTGACAGAGCCAGAATTCCAACCCAAGTCTGCTTCTGAATTGTGTGTGTGTGTGTGTGTGTGTGTGTGTGTGTGTGTGTTTGCTTCTTCTTGTATATAAAACTTTTGAGGCTATGGATTACAGTTTCTCTCTTCTTTATTTCACCATTGACTACCCAGGTATGGGGGTGTGTGTGTGTGCATGCATGTGTGTGCATGTGTTTATATATACAAAAAGTGTACACTCAACTTTGTTTCTTGGGCTCTCAGAGAATAACTTTGCAAATGGAAATAAAAGTCTTAAATCCATATTACATACATATTTATATTATTTATGTGTTCATATAGGTCAATATGATGTAAATAATTCCAATATTATTTGATAAATTTTTTTTGTTTTGAGATGGAGTCTTGCTCTGTCGCCAGGTTGGAGTGCAGTGGCGCAATCTCGACTCACTGCAACCTCCGCCTCCTGCATTCAAGTGATTCTCCTGCTTCAGCCTCCCAAGTAGCTGGGACTACAGTTGTCCACCACCACGCCTGGCTAATTTTTGTGGTTTTAGTAGATATGGGGTTTCACCATGTTGGCCAGGCTGGTCTTGATCTCTTGACCTCATGATCTGCCAGCCTCAGCCTCCCAAAGTGCTGGGATTACAGGCAGGAACCACTGCGCCTGGCCATTTTATAATTTTTGCATATAATTTTCAAGATGCAACTGTTGGAATCTATTAATGACACACAAGAAAATGTATATGTGGTATAGTATGAGAATGCATCTGGACCACTCAGAGAGAAATCAACAAACCCAACAGAAGAATGGAGTTGGAGATGTTTTGTACATTGCAATTGTCACAGGACTGAAGGACATTTAAAGACTTGACAAGTGTCTTGACTCAGTGGCAAGTTTGAGTCAAGCTAGGTATAAGAAGCCCTCCTCAGACTCCAAGAGTGTGAGTTCAGTCCACGCAAAATCTGGATGACTTTCTATTCCCCAAAGGGAAGTCAGCTTGGCTCCCTAGAGACCTCAAACTCAAGGACGCTCAGGAAAGGGTGTCAGATTCCCCATGCTTTAAAGGGAGCATCTCTGCTCTATCATTACCAATAGTTTTCCTGATGACCTTTCAGCAGCCCCTTCAAGGACATGGCACTGATGTTAAAAGTTGTGGGCTGCAACTACCTGAGAAAGGATTTCCCTACCTCTTCTGCTTGGTGTGGGGTAAAAAGTATGTGGGTTTTTGTTTTGTCTTACTGAAAAATATTTATTTATTCAATTTTAATTGACAAAAGTTGTACATATTTATGGTGTGCAACATGTTTTGAGGTATATACACATTTTGAAATTATTAAATCAACTTAATTAACATATCCATCGCCTCACATATGGAGAAGATTTAAGATCTACTCTCAGCAATTTTCAAGTGTACATTACACTATTATTAACTACAGTCACCATGCTGTACAATAGATGTCTAGAAATTATTCGTCTTGTCTAACTGAAGCTTTATACCCTTTCACCAACATCTCTCCACATTCCTCTCCTCATCCCCAACCCCTGGTAACCACTATTCTATTCTCTGCTTTTATGAGTTCAATTGTTTTAGATACCATACATATGTGAGATCATGCAGTATTTGTCTTTCTGCAACTGCCTTATTTCACT